CCCCCCCCCTCAAAATTCAATTCTCCGCTGGAGAACGTCTTCGTGAGCCTCTCATGATTTCAGGATAGTTGAAACCCTCTTGCCCTCTTGAACATTCAGAAAGAGTGCATATGAAATTCGAATTACGAAATGTGTTCTCGTTAAAATACCATTCTCTCCTGGAGACCGTCTTCGTAAGCGTCTCTGTGTTCCCCGAAAGGATCGCAAGGTGTTACATACCTAGAGTTTATTTTCTTCTCTCCTGGGGCCAAACTCAAGGAGCACGTCTTCGTGAGCCTCTCATGATTTCAGGATAGTTGCAACCCTCTTGAACATTCAGACAGAGTGCATATGAAATTCTAATCACGACAGGTGTTCCCCGAGGGGATACATACCTAGAGTTTGTTTTGTGAACCACGTCTATTCTCTTTTTGGGAACGTCTTCGTGAGTCTCTTCTGGTTTCAGAATAGTTTAAACCCTATGATGCTCCGATTCTATGCTCACCGATGATCTGAGCCATGGGGCGAGGTTGTTTCCTTATAAGAACCTTTCTGAACATTTCGAGAGCATATGAGCAACGGCTTCTATTTGCGGTAGTGGTGATTGGTCTAGGGGCGTTCCTTTTCTATAGCCCAATGTCAGAGTTAGTTGGCGAAACGAGGTAGGAACACCCCGAAAACGAGATGGGCATCAAATGCGCCATTTGTTTGCAATCGTTTGGTTAATGACATGTTTAGCTTGTGAAACGAGGTAGGAAGACCTCTCGAGAACGAGATGGGTTTCCACACGCCAAAACGAAATACAGGCATGGAGACCGAGATCACACACCAAAAACGATGCGGGCTTGGAGACCGCTGCTGTGGCTCGAAGTATGCCACTCGCGTTCTCTTCTCTTCCCGCTGTCCTACCTTTCGTGTCTCCTTCCTCTCAAGTAAGCTATAATAGCTAGCTATAGTAGCTATTAGGCTAAGGATCCGCTACCTTATACTGGATGCAGCATAGCTCACGCTTCTTGATGGAAGTTCTGCTAAGCTTCCTTGAAGAAGCACTCGCACTATTCATTTGGTTCCTAGAATATTAGGAATAATTTTAATACGTGTTTCATTTTGTTTCAACCTTTTCATAAATTTTCAGTGGTAGTCAGTTTGTGGGGCTACGTCGCAATAAAATTCTTACAACAGCAGATTGAAGGAAGTTGGGTGGGACGTTAATACACGTTTTTGGAATATGTCTTTCTATTTTATGGATTATTTTTTGATGTGCGTTGTGATGACTATAGACAGAGTCGAGTTATTGAACATGATTCTGTCTATATAATTTTGACAGAGAGTGAGAGTGAATGAATTATTTCGCTGGACTACCTTCCAATGCTTCTTGGGTGTTATGATGTGGGTGAGGGGTATGACATAACACTAAGCTGAGATTTGGCCATACAAGTTACCAATGAACAGAGATGCAGCGGTGAAGTGACTCTAGCGGAGGTCTATATTTGTTGAAAGTCGGAAGACATGACTGGCGTCACCCAAGTTTTGCAACTAGCCTACAGCCAGCCTAAGGCATGCACAGCACGCATGAACAAGCTCTTGATGCTCTTCGCCAAGAAATTTCCAGGCCAGCTTGATGCGGTTGCTAGGATCATATGTCTTTGTGTCCTCAACACAGTTCTCCAACGTTAAATTATTTGATGATGTTGTCAGCATTTCTGCATCGATGCACTTAAGCGCTGGACCGGGCCGACTAGACTTGGGGGCTGCACATTTTTACGCAGTGTCCTTTTCGCATCTTTTCGCCAATTCATAGAAGCAACACACTTTTTCATGCTAGTAACAAGGGCATCGCTACTAGTAGCTAGAAGCTAGAAGCTATTAGTAGTAATATGTAGTAATGCCCTTGTTACTAGTAGCGATGCCCTTGCTACTGTACTAGTAGCGATGCCCTTAGGCCCTTGCGGTTCTGATCTGGGGAGCACGGCATGTATACATCCAAGAGCAACACTGACACTTCCAGGTTCATATGTTTGATCAGAAGACAGTCCAAACGCGAATCAGCAGCATCAACTGAACGCAGTTTGTGATACAAGAGCAGGCTTTATATCCCGATCTCGGGCATAGAGTATGCAAGAGCACTGGTCGCTTGTGGGCGCAACTGAACTACCGGCATCCACCAGCAACAGCTGTGCTTCCAAGTGGAATGAGATATCCAACTGGAAGATACTGGAAGATATTTTTTGAGATTGACAGTTGCAAAAGTTAGGTCGCTAGCCCTGTCTTGCTCTTCAGTTTCCTACATCGGCAACATATCCGCATTCGGCATTCGATCCCCTGAGATTTCGATGCTGCTCTTCCTGAACCTTCCTGCGATTTCTGGCGATGACTGGCCCAGAACAAGTCCTGCAGCAACCTGTGGCAACAAATATGTGTTTTTTTGTTTCCATATTTTCCATCCCCTGCTTTCCTTGTAAGGACGTTCATGTAAGAACAATCACACGCTAATTGTGAGGTCCAAGACATCAAACATGCCAGTGCAGCTTTCGGAGCGTGTGAGTTGTCTAATGTTTTCGCAAAATGTCTATTGGCTAAATACATATAAGTATTTATTATATAAATCTATACATGTATATGCCCAAAGCTGCGGGATTTCAGCCACATTTTTACATTGTTTTACATCGCAGACAAAAGCTCTGTATAAACAGACCTCCAGCACCAAGATGAGCAAGATGGGACTGCCATGACGGCTGGGACCATTTGCATTTTTAGCGATCCAAACCAAGCAAAGGGCCCTGAGCGGCCCTGAGCCCCAAGAGTCAGCTTGAAAGCTGCAACCACTTGGTTTAGCGGCTCGTACTTAGCTTCTGAGATCAAAACTGATTTCAGCCGAGTGTCAAGAAAGTTTGCAGCGTCCTCAGTTCTTGCGTTTTTAGCCGCCTTTACCATGGTGTCATATTATGTCACTCAAGATACGGATTTCATATCTCGAGATCCTTCGGAACCACACAGTTTCATGGTCTCAGGCGACGACTGCACTAACAGTGGATGGAGGGAGTTCAACACGTTTCTTCCATGCCAACCAGAGGTGTTAAACATTGTTAAGCCATTTGGCAGATTCAGAGATGTGTTGATCTTCATTCCACAGAGACGCACCGGATGAGCGGCTACGGTGCGTCAGCATTCGCACCCAGTTGTGCTGATGCTTCATGCTGTGCAGGAGTGCAGGGTATACACCCCAGATGCCATTTCTCATATTTGTCCACATTTGTGACATTGTTTTGTGCTGCGCTGAATTGGAGAATCTTGGAGGTTACGGGGTCATTGCGCTGCCATGTTGGCCAGTCGAGATTCTAGAGAACCTTCACAACACCATGTTTGACACCACCTGGAGTGTATATCACACAATCACATGTTCCTCCTTTCATTTGCAATGCTTTCGGCGCAATTTCTGCGATCGTTTTGCTCCAGCTCAGCCAGCTTCATAGGGGTGGCCCGCAACATCGGAGTCTTGAGTCAGCGGCCTTAAAGAGAACGCCTTGCCAGCACCGTCAAGCCATTATTGGGTACAGTACTTTTCCCAAGGCAAATGCTTCAACTCAAACAGTACAGCAGGTCTTCAAGTCATTTGACGGTGTCCAACAACCAAAGAGCTTGCCCATGCATAGCCAAAGCTGCTGACGCTGGCTTGAGCCGGACACCCAGCATGACAGTCTCGGGCGCACGCTTGCCAGAGGGAGCCAGAGTGTCTAGTATAACTCAAATATTGACAGAGTTTGAATTTGTCCGCACTAACATTAATTTAACTTGATTTTTTCAAGCTACTGGCTACTGATAAGATAAATAGACAAACAAGCTGCCTTCTGCCTGAAAATAAGGGATGTTTAATGGACGTTGCGTTCATCACCATGATGTTCCGACTGCCTGCAGCCTTAGGGCTTTGGGTGTGTCGTGTCTCCTGTCTCCTGTGTGCTGTGTAAGTGTTTGTTTCCTTCTCAAGCTGCTAGCCATGGATGCGAGCGTATCTTTACCTCCTTTGCCCTTCGCTGCTTGAAGCATGGAGACTCGCATGCGTGGTGCCTTGGATTTGCAAGGATCCGGTTGTCCCTGCTGTTTTAAGGATCATTTTAGGAAGAAATAAACTCACAGTGAATGTGGATGGAGATGCTGGTGGTTCCAGAAGATTGAAAGAGGACCTTATCATACCTTATCTACTGGTAGTTACTTGGACCTGCGGACCTGCCTTTGGGCGGAAGGTGAAACTTGGAAATTCGACGGCTGATCTCCATGGCTTCCATTCGATCTACCGGACCTGGGGTAGTCACTGCGAATGGCTTCTTGACAGCAACACCACAGCGTTCGGCCTTACCAATGTTCACCTTCTGTCATCGGTATAAACTCCAGACACATATTGTGACCTACTGTAAATGCATACTCTGGAAGCACTATCCTTCTTCAGAGATCAATCCGCATTAGCTGCCAGGTTGGTTGCTGTCATACCATCTGGAGCCAGGGTGCCTGGGAAGCAAGTTAATTACTTGTCCTGTGTTGAAGGGTGACTTGCTCAATTTGGATTGACCGTTATCAGATCATGCATAGCGGAAAACACATTGCAAGATGATGCCAGTGCACCGCTTGCGGCCAGGCAACATTTTGGACAACGGTGGGACAAGGCTCCTTTCAGGTGTGGTACAAGCTTGTCAACGACTGAAGGAATCATTCTGGCCGTTCCGGTCCACTCTTTTCGGTGGGGGAGGTCCTGAGGCTTCAATCTTCAAAGCACGGAAGATTTGATGGTTATTTAGTGTAGTTCAGTTTAATGTTCGTTATATATGTGTTATTTGTTGTAGCTCTGTAGCTCTTACATGACATTTCTTCACATTTCGGCAGGGGGTAGGACGTACGTAAGATAGCTAGTATTACAGTATAGCTAGTAGTAAGCTAAGTACACGACTAGTAGCAAGGACGCGACTACCGATCGGATGCAGAAGGGATCCCAGTCGTCAAGGAAACTTCTGCAGCCCGGTATGAAAGGAAGGAAAGCAAGAACGGTCTCAAGGTCTAAAGCAAAGTATGAAAACAAATTGAGCCAGCATAATTTGCAGCAGCAGCACCCTGCAGTGGCACCAGCACCAAGGCTCCACTGCCATAATAGACATCTGGCAGCACCACCCTGCAGCGGCAACCTGCAGCCCAAGCACCCAAGCTGTAAAGCGCACACAGCCATGGACATCTCGCAGCAGCACCCTGGAGCGGCACCTGCAGCGGCGCTTGCACTCAAAGCGCACACAAGCACCCCTTCCTATAATCGAAAGTATACCACAGTCGCTCTCGCTATGGGGTTCGATTGAAATCACCAGACCTGGAGGTGATCCAACTTGTTGATCCACCTAGTGATGCACGTGACTTGCTGCAGCTCACCCGCCTGACCATTGACACCATTTCAGGAGGCGGGCTTTCAGACTTTGATCGTTGATGTTCACTGTACCCATACAATCATACGGTGTATGGATAATGTTGGATCCTGATTAGTAAAGGGGGTCCCCCCCCTCCCTCAAACAAATGGGAGACCCTCTTCATAAACTACCACTAAAACAAATTTGGGTTCCTAGGAGGATTCCTTTTTGTAATTGATTGTAGTATTCATTTTCCTTTCTCTCTTTGTAGTAGTAGTAGTAGTATTAAGAATTACTAGTTTTTATTTTTCTTCAGGAAAAAACTTTGCACAATTGAGGACCCTTAGAACAAGTTCATTATTGAGGATCACGGGCCTTCCTGGTCTACTACCTTGAACATTTGTTTAGGAGCAATCTTTACATAAAGGATTAATTAGGGAATTGATGGTTTTGGGAAGCTGTCAGTTTTGAAGAAGAACTATGATGGAAACCTATACTTATCAATACTCTCAGAAATCCAACCAATATACTTAATTAGGGAATTCAAACCCTTATTAATTAGGTGTCCAATATAAAAAACTAGGGTCCCCCAAAAAAATTAGCATTATTCAGGACCACCTTTTCAAACATGGGGTCTAGAACAATTTTGGAAACAATTTAGCATTATTGAGGACCGGTTTACTAATCAGCATCCAACATTACAAAGAAATCATATCTGATATTGGTATGTTTTTGACGCGTTTTGCTTTTGCTGCGGTCGCTTGTTCTGGTAGACACTGAAGCAGTTGTGTGCTCAGTGCTACAGCCACACTGCCACACTGTCTCTTTGCTTGAGTGGGGCTGGAATCCAAATCCCACTTCGGCCAATTCGCCACAGGCTTGGCGGACTTGGTTTGCGCTTTGGCGAGGCACCAGTTTCGATCAACAAACAGATTGGAACAAATTAAGCCAAATCAATCAAACCTCAGCCCTCCTGCGTCCAAACCCGGCAATTAGTTTCCCAGTTACAAATAAATTATCTATATATAATTTATACTGTTTTAAAACTGCAACAACAACACACTTCACTACACTCCAAGATTCAAGATTCTTGGGGCACGCCAGGATGTTCCCAAGGGAACTTGAGGCGGTTTTTTGTCAAAACATCCGAGTCATTCTCATTTGGTGCAGTTCTACATTCTACATTAATGTATCCTTTACATTGCATTTGCAACCATCCAGTTCCCGCCATTTCAAAGGTCGTACTCTCTAGCAAGGAACCTGTGATCAGCAGACTGCATCCAACTGGCATGAACGCTGCATGTAAACGGTCAACAGTCGGCAGAGGAATGATCCGGTATCGACCTCTCATACTCCAACCGTAGAGAAAGCACTCCACGATATTGAGGACCCCATATGCCATATGCAAAGCAAATAGCCCAAATCAAAAAGAGGGCTTGCCTACCTAACAAAGCACTGTAGTGGAAAAAAACAAACCAGACAGCCTCAAACCAACTGATTTCAGAAGTGCTAACTCCATCCTCATTAGAGCGAGGCATTTCCTTGCTCCTGGTCTGACTGGAATTCCCCAAATTCAATCTGTTCAGAAGCAACCGAATCGCAAGAACTCAATTGAGCTGAGTTTTTTTGTACATGAAAGGAATTGTATGGAGGTTGTCCTGTGGTTTGTTCGCGTAAGCAAATTCGCTTGGGGGCTCGCGTAGGCATTGTTGGGGAATGTTGGGGAATGCCTTCGCGTAGGTTCCTTGCGTAGGTACCCCTTTTCATACAGTTTGATTGCTTGAATGTGTTGCGTCTCATGGTTTCGGTGTTTTGCTAGGACAGAGGCTCAGTTCAGAGGGACAATGGTCAGCAAGGAACAAGATCCCGACACTGCACACATGCAAACAAATGATGCAGATAGTGCGTGAAATTGCTGTGGCAAAGCCATTCTCTTGCCAATAGCGGCGATGGCAAAGCCATTCTCTTGCCAATAGCGGCGATGGTGCAAATATGATGAAATACGTGTTTTCTCGCGTAGGCTCCGGGTACACACCGCGTAGGTGGACCTCCCACTTGTGCACTATACCCCACGTCTCCGCACAACTGTCTTTCGGCTGACAAGTATTGCCTTGCAGCTTGCTGGCAAAAAAATGGAGTGAACACACGTCTTCTTACAGGTGGCAGTAGTAGCGGTAGCGACTAGACCACAAGCACAGAAGAGTGAAGCCCAATGGCAGCGTAGGCAAAAACACACTAGCAACACAAAAGCTGCACTGCGTATGCTTCGCATAGACATGCTTCAACTACCGCTGTCTCGCGTAGGCAAGCACTGTGGTGGCGTAAGCACGCGTAGGCTTCTAGCGTAGGCACCGACAAATTACAACACTCCACACAACAAAAACGCTGCTCAACTCATCAACTGTCACGTCAGTCACGTCTGGCAACGGATAGCATCCTTGGCATTTCATACGGTCAAAGAAACTATCTTTCTCACAAAAGGATAGACTGCTCCCCAAAACACCCCGAACAATGGACATGTCAGGCACTCTTGCGGAAAAAGATTCATGGGTAATTACTGCAAGTCATGCAGCCATGAAAGCAGCAGAGCGTTGTCTTGAGAGAGGCCTTGGATGTTCCTGGTGCCGCAGAACTTGATTGCATTCTTGAGTGATCAGCAGACGGCCAGCGGAGAGTTGCTTAGTGCAAGATGGACATTTCTGCAGCACATGTGCGTAGCACATACGGTTTGGTTGAGCAAATGTATTCCCAGATGTTACCTAAACAGACTGATGGAAACACATGGTTGATACTACCCCTGTAATTTATTCCAGCCAATGTGGGTATGTGTGACATTTTGGTGCTACACATGACACTCTTCACATTGCAGCATCTTGGATTCAAAGCCAACACTGTGAGGCTAGGCCATTGGTCAATACCTTGCGGTAAGACGCTCTTTTGCCAGACGGGCCTGCCACAAGTGTCACAAGTGTCAATGCGCGCGTGGCCACTCTTCCCTGCGATGTGTGGAAGACGCCTCGAGGAGCGCAAAATTGGGACATGCGGCTGGCATTTGGCAGTGAAATTCCTGTACGCGGCGCATTCCCTGTCAAAGCATTGTTTCATAATCGACAGGAACATGTTTTTTGTGTGGCCAGTAGACTTGCCATTGCATGCCAAGTTGGTGGTGTAATGGCGCTGATGACCACCTGCTCTGTAGTGAGGAGGCCTGCGGTCAGAACCTGAGCCAACCAGTAGCTCTTCATGCATCCAGCACAAGGCAGCATCTTAACTGCGTTCAATGAGGGAAACATTGGACTGAGTGGGTAGCGAAAGAGAAGGTTATGGTGCACAGCGGGTATTACAATATATTGTATATAGAATATTGATGAAACATGATGAAACAATGTCATAGCTTTGCATCGTGTATGATTGCCACGAAAACCTGACTTGAAAGACAAGGAATGAACCTGTTGCACTTTAAACCTGAGGCTTTCAGAACTGCATGCTTTCTTTTATCATGCCTGGCCACTCAAAGCAAATTGTCAATTGCGCTTGGCATCTTCTGCCCGGCCTCCTCTACCTCGAGTAGCCGTCCTCATCGGGTGCCTTGCTTTGATGAAGGTGATGGACAGTAACTGCAGCCTGGAAGAGTCAATAGAAGCGATCTTAGATTAAGAAGTGCAGTGACCAGGAGGCTTGAATAGTCCACCGCTCTTAGGTTGGAGGCCATCGCTATTAGGTGCGAGGCCATCGCTATTAGGTTGGAGGTTGGAGGCCATCGCTAGTAGGTTGGAGGCATTCGCTCTTAGGTTGGAGGCCATCGGTAGTAGGTTGGAGGCGTTCGCTCTTAGGTTGGAGGCCCTTGCAATTAGGTCGGAGGCCATCGCTAGTAGGTTGGACCGGAGGCCATCGGTCTTAGGTTGGAATAGTCCCATCTTCCTACATTACATAACATATTTGTTTGCATGTTTTTTGCTTTCCAAGTCAGTATTCGTGCCAGCGCACAGGAGGGGTTCGGATCTCCTGTTGTTTGTTCAGGCCTAGCGAACAGAGAATTTGTTTGGGGTCTCGGTTTGGACGTTTCATGTCTTCATTCGGCATGCTGAATACGCTCCCTCCCCATCAATCCTTCAAGGCAGTGCCGCAATCATTTGCTACTAGTAGCGCCCTTGCTCCTAATAGCGATGGAAACAACATGCACCGAGAATCTAATTCATGGCTGCGGCTGGGATGAGTGTAGGAGGTGGGAAGGATGAATGATTAAGTATAAATCGCTTTCATGAGGACTTGTGAAGAGGGCAGGTCGCAGTATGTCGTAGCATCGTGTTCAGGTCCCTCCTACGTGGGCTTCACAAGTCTGGTCAGATGCTTCGAAGATTGCCCCTCGCAGAATTTAGTTGCACGTTTTTGGTTATCTTGTGTCTTGGGAGCTTCGTACCCACCCTTCCAGATTTCCTGCCTTTATGTAATTCTTTTGGCGACTAACCCTGACTCACTCTATGGACGTATTATTCAGAATAATTTGACACTCACAGACGCTTTGAATCCGATTGAACCCACTTTTCGTATCAGCTGATTCAGGTTCAAGGATCGAAGAATTCGATACCACATTTTCATGTATTCTTCACCACCTTTGGCATGGGGCAACAACCTTGGATGTGCTCGACTTCTGGATGACTTGGTCCACCAACTGCCTCGTCACCAGATCACTTGGAGATATGCCACACGAAGCGAGAATCTCCAAGAGGAAGCATTTGCGAAGAGAGTCAACTCAAGGTGGGGAAGCTGTGCAGGTGCACTTAAGCCACTGATGAAGCAGCTAGACTGAAAGATTTGATTGTGCAGTGCATTGACGTACAACTATTTGCAACTAATGATTAACCACACGAGAACAAGATATAGATATAGAACATCAAGATCATATAGCACATCACATTGGATTCAGGTTTTGTTGATTTCGTGAGCAACGCATTCAGCAGGTCACATTAAAGCTGAGATTTGATTTTTGCTTGCAATGCGCTTGTTTCATTGAAACGCATGTAGAGGCATAGATGAAGCTGCTGAGATTTGCAAGTTCCAAGATGATTGTTTTTTGGAGCATACCGACCCTTGATGTGTGTGTGTGTGTTTTTTAAGGGAGTGTATTCTAACGTGTGCTTCACCTTCACTCTGGGAGGCACATGAGACAGTGGTTCAAACTAGAGCAAGCATATGAGATGATGGAGGCCTATGAGCAAGAACAGAATAGAGATTTTGACTTGGTCTTGAAATTGAGGACAGTCCAAGAGAAGTTGACGGTTCTGATCATACCTGGTTCAGGCTTGAGGTGGGATGTTTGATTGGAGTTTGCCATCAAGAAAAATACAAAACATGCAGACTTCCGCAGCAACCGCCAACCGCCTGAAATTACTGCAGAATATTGCAGAGCACTTCACTTCATAGTATCAACACCACAACGGAGCGAGACCTCTTGCAACACACTCGCTTCGCATCACATCAAAGAACGCTGCCGGCCTTTTGCTTCGCTTGTACTTCATCCGTCCAACCTGCTCGCGATGGCCTTGTCCGACTGCATCACCCCAGCAACCTTGGACCAAAGTATCCCATTTGCCTTGCCCACTTGTTTCCAAAGTTTGGTCTTGCAATGCCTTGGTGAAACCTGAAACAACACCTGCCACTGCCACAAACTCCCGTTGTGATGTGAGTCAACCAGTCTACTGTACGTAGTTCTTAGATGTGGTTAGTGTATTTGGGGCTTTTGCTCGATCTTTAGCGATGTAATCTTTGCTTTGATGCTATTACAGTATATTCTTTGAAGTCATACCAGACCTGAGCTATTAATCATCACCGGCCATTTTTGAGAGGACAGATATGTTTCTGCCGGCACCTCTCGATCTTGCAGATTTTCCGGAGATCCTGACTTCCAGATTCTGAGCATGTATTGAACTTATTTCCTAGAAGCTGCTGTCGGAAGTCCTCGCAGTCGTAAAAGGTTGCAACTCCTGAATGGTTCTTGATTCTTTTCTTGCTCCGCAGCCATGCGGTGCAAAACCAAGGAACTGTGTACAGTTTCACTGACATTGCCTTCATGTCACGCCGAGATGTAGCAAGAAGCCTGCTGAAAAGTGTGCCGCTGGCAAGCATTGGTTCTTCCACAAGTAGTAGTTTCGACCTCAGCAAGTTGTGGACAGCACACGATGAAAAGGCGACTTATATAGCATTCTATAGTTACTATGCTTGTACAGCTAGGCTTGTTCTAGGGGTTCCCGTTTTTGATCCTTTTAAGATTATGAGACGGGTGTTGAGGTTTCAGCGTGACAAAGTCATGCTAGTCGAATCTAGTGAGTTGTTTTTTCCAGACAAATTATTAATGTTCCGAGGACTGAGAAGCTGTCTCAGTATGCAGGCAACCAGCGAGCGCTTTTCCCGCTGGACTTTGAACGACTGCTTCGAAATGGACCTTTGGCCTAATTGAACCAGACATGGTTGACACAGTCGCGAAAAGGGTGAGAATATTGTTAAAGCAAAACAGCAATATGTTTTTGTGTTTTTTTTACAGTCACCTTGTTGGAGTCGCTTGAGCTGAAATTTAAATGATCTATCGAGCTCACTGCACCCAAGCCGGTCACAATGACATTGTAATGCGCCCTAGTGGAAGCAGTCTTTGCATGTTTTGGCCAGTAGAATACAGAGTAGCTAGTACAACTCCAAGGCCTTCAGTACCGAGCACTCTTACCATTTTGAATTGGAAGAAGATCCAGTGTTTTAGACGTGTCAGTCCATTCCTAAGGCTGGGTCGAAGGCTTCAGGTTGCAGACCTTCCCGGACATCGGCCCTTCAGCCGCAATGCCGGATGTAGAGCGTTCCAAAGTGAGTATGCTCGTTCATCATTCATCACTTGAGGAGTGTCAACAGAAGCGTATGTTCCTCCTCACGTGAGCCATGGTAGTGTCTTTCTATGACCACTAAATTGAGGTCAAAAAAAATGGAACGACCTCACCGGATGAGGTTCACCGGAGCTCCGTGCAGCAATCGCTTCCGGCCATCCCAACAAATGTATGGCTTTGCTGCGGCACTACCGCAGAGAGCTTGAGAATGCGGGCGACGTGCCGAGCTTCTCCGGACACTGGAGGACCCGAGCAGTGGGGGCGGCGGGATTGAGTGAACTATTTGTCGTAAAGAATGGAGAATGCTTGTAAAGGATGGAGCAGGAATGTATGATATGTGTTCCACACACCTTTTTTTGGAGGAGAAGGTTCCTGTTCTAGTATTGTTACGTATTATAATATATGTAATATTATGCATGTGTATATATATATATATATATATTTAAGGGCTTACGCCCGACAGCCGGCCAGGGGCCCAAGCAAAGGGGAGGGGGCAGGGAAAAAGGGCACGGGGGCTAGGGGCAGCGGGGGGACGCAGGGGGTTGTTGTTGTTGTTGTTGTTGTTGCTTTGTTGGCCCAGCTTGGGTCGATGTTGGCGTATCTTGGGGGCTATCTGGGCATCTTGGGAGCTATGCTAGCCCATTTTGTCGCTATGTTGGGGCTATGTTGGCCCATCTTGGGGGCTATGTAATCTTGGCGCTATCTTGGCCCATCTTGGGGCCATGTTGGCCCATCTTGGGGGCTATGTTGGCCCATGTTGGGGCTATGTGGCCCATGTTGGGGCTATGTTGGCCCATCTTGGGGCTATGCTGGCCCAACTTGGACGCTTTTTTGGGCCTATGTTGGGCCATGTTGACCGCCGCAAGAGCCGAAAAATGGGACAAGCCAAAAACACTGTAAAGCGCGGTAGCTTTGGTAGGTCGGCGCATGGTCGGCGGCAGGGCAGCAAGCCCCTCTCTCCTACGGAGAGGAGAGAATGCCTACGGCAAGGACACGGCCTTGGGGCCTCGGGGGCCCCTGGCCGGATTGGCCCATCTGGGGCCTATGTTGTGCCAGCGGGGTCTTCGGGCTATGTTGGCGTATCTGGGGGCCATCTGGAAGCAAAATCCCCAGGTCTTCGGGCTATATATGTTGGCGTATCTGGGGGCCATCTGGAAGCAAAATCCCCAAGGTCCACGCAAACCCCATGCCATAAAGGGAAAACATGGCTCAGCCCCGGCGGGTCGGGGGCTGTCTCGGGGCTAGGTTGGCCGAGCTTGGGTGCCATGTTGGCCCACAGTCGGGACTGTGTTGGCCACTCTTGGGCTATCTTTGGGCTCTGTGGGGCCATCT